TTGTATATACAGAATGTACACAGCCATGTATCACCATCACTACTGGTGATCCGATGGATAAATCTGTTGCAGAGTTGTCACTGGTTCAGACTTACTTATAATTATAATAGTATATATACTAACAACAAATATTTTGATTACTATTTAATTCATTAAACTATATATTACTACACACATAAGTATACACTATCAAAAGTTATCATTTTTAGTAAGGTTTTATCTGAAATTAAGAAACCATTCCCTGATTTCTCCTTATTCCACAAGAAATTTAAAGTCTGAAAAGAAATATTTCCATATCAACAGTAATGCATATAACAAACTCCATACCAAAAATTCCACCAAGATAACTTTCTACATTGATTCGAAACAATACCCCTCTCTTTAAACTGGCTAATTCAGAGATAGTAGAAACTTTTTTTTCACTTGGAAATTATGCAAAAAACAAGACCTCTTTAAAAAAAATAAAAAATCTTAGACAAATGAGAAGGATCGGGTATGCTAATATCAGATTATAACATGGCATTTGTCCTTATATCAGTTGTAATTTTAGCTATATGTAATAGCAAAACAAGGACCAGGGTATTGGTATCACCAAAGTTTGCTGACATTCATATAGTCAATTGTTAGAAAAGTTCAAAATCTTATTAAAGTTCACTTCAGATATGCACCCATTTCCTAGTTGAATAGTGTTAATAATTTGGATTATATATCATTAAATTAACGTTATTTAACAACTTGATCATATTGTTGCAAATAATATTTTATCACTTGAAAATGCTAAAATTATCTATGCACTTTAAGACATACTTAAAAGAAAGGAAAAGATGAAATCCAGACCGATAAACACCAACTTACTTGTCTGCCATAAAATTACCATTATTACATATACACTCCATTTATTTACTGACCAAGAGACTAGATAATCAAGGGTCAGTTCCATTAATATGTCAGTGATGAATTTGGTTATTTCTTGATGACTGACAAATCAATTATCCATTTAAAAGCTTAGAAATATGGAGACTACTCAGGACATATCATACTAGTTTTCCGTTTTATTTACTTTATTTTATTGACAAAAAATGTTTCGGCTTTAATTTTTTTAAATCATTTTCAGAACACATTTTTAGAAGGTGATGTTGTTAAAATTTTATACATAATTCATTATTAATAAATCAAATTTTTCTTTTGATAATTTTTACAAATGTTTCAGGGCTATAAAGGTAATAACATTTATTTTTCTAATTATGACAGAAACTTAACATTTACATTTATATTTTACTGTTGTCGTATGTTTAACCGGAAGACAAAATATACTATCATTGACAAGGCTTTTTAACACTGACATGGATTTTAATTACTTTTTTTCAAATTGAAGACGTCGGCTGAATTCATTCGGGTGAAGGGTTGTAAATTTCGGATGACCCCCTTTTCGGAGTAAGCCACGCTGTATGCATACAAATAAAAGTAAAACTTGCATAACTCATTAAATGTCCCTATGATACCTATTGTAAGGTTTAACTGATTTATTGTTATTTCAGAATTTTTGTTCTGGTACTCAATGTGCATGAAATATTTGCCATTGAACGTAAGCAAACCAATTATAAATAAATTGTTGTTAACAAATTCACCAAAGTGAAACATGCAATATTTGGTGTGTTTGAAGGGTTGAAGCTTCATTAGAAACACTTGAAACCAACGGTTTACACAAATGCTTGCTGCATACAGAGTATCCCTGAATAAAAAAACGACATCATTGTAAAAGTATAACTTATATTTTGAAGAAAGTACATCCTCATTAGTCATTTATTTTATTTCAGATGATCTTATTTAATCTACTGATATGCATAAAAATAGTGTTATAAAAACTCAAGAGAATTTTCGATGAAGAAAAGCAAAAAAAGGCTGTCAGCAGTCTTGTGCTAGATGAAGTTATTTTATCTAAATGATTGCCTTTTTTCTTTGGATGAATTACTTAGTAATTCTGTTAAATACCTTATCAACATGAACCATAGCACTCGATTTGAACTTAATGTATTCAAATAACAACTGACTTTCATTTACTTAGGCATATTTTTTATTTTGAAATACGTGTGTTCAGATATCCTTTCTTACAATATTTTGTATGCCTAAAAAATCGAAACCTAAAGTCTTGTCTGCACTTTTGTAGTGTTCAATGGAAAAGTTGCAGGTACTCCCCATATACTCATCGTAAAAGGTTGAAAAAAAAAAATAATCAACCGTATGTTTTTCTAGTGGAGGCTTTAAATACACATAATTTTGGGAATTCCATCATCCTGATTATTTATGAAATAGTTTCCACTTGTTTCTGTTTTCCACAGAAAATTCTATCTCCATTTGATTATGATGACCAAGACATTGAATAAAAAGTAAAATAACAAAAATATCGAACTCCAAGGAAAATATTCACTATGTAAATGTTATGGTTAGCCACTTGTTTAGTCAAACCTACCTGTAGTATAAATGTATTCCCGACTGAATTGTTTGAAAGAAGAATGTCGCTCTTTTATGAAAGTCTCTGTATCTTACCATGGAAGTAAAATGTCAATATAATACTTCCATGATCTTACATTTATGATCTTGACAACTTGATTTAACATGATGAAAAACAATCCTATTAAGTATGAAAGCTTTCTATAAAACAGTCTTAGATGTGGGCTACATCATTTTAACACTTTCAGGTCATTTTGTGTACTGAAATTTTAATAATACGCACACCACCTATTATTGATCCCTTTTGCTTTCTATGATAATTTTTTTTCAATTTCAAGCACTTTTGGGAGTGGGGTCAATTTACCGTTAATTACATCTTAGAGCGTACTGGTTATCGGAACTTTAGATAAATCAAAACATGTACTTCATATCTGAATAACAGGCAATATATGCCCTACTTTCTAGATTTCATTCATTATTTTTTTTTATTTTTCCCGAGCTCGAGTTGCTGGTTTTACATCTTACAAAGTCTATTCGAATTATTTGCCTTATACATACATTATTTCCTGCCAAGTTATCTACCATATATCTCGGTGTGCCTGTTGTATTGTTTTTGTGCTTCGGTGTGATTGTTGGGCTAAATTATGGAAGAGAATGTTTGATTTCTTTGCTAGATTTGTTATATTAATATAACTCCATGGCTTTGTTCTTTAGTTCACAGTGACGTGAACGTCAGTTTGCAAAGAATTCCGCTTAAATCGGTGTCAGGGGCCGTCTTAAACTTGCAGTGAAGTACGAGTTTTTCTCCGTGTTGAAGGTCTTACTGTGCCTTCGAGATGAAGAACAGCAATAAAAGCGCTGGTCCTTTGCTTTTTTGTGTTTTTGCTGAACATTTACTGACTCTGTTGCATGAATGGATACCCCCATATCCTTTCTTTTTTATAAGAGTACTTAAGTTCACGGTGTTATTGTAACAATACTAAAAGAAAAATGGCCAAAGTCCCATTACTCCTGTAAAAATGGTTGAATCAAAATGGCGCTACAATTTTGTCAATAATACATGATGTCAAACAATCCTACCAAGTATAAAGGCTTTCTATAATACCGTTTAAGTCTGAGTTTCGTTCACAAGGTATTATTTTGATAGTACTAAAAATAGAAAAAGTTTCATATTTCCTATGAAATTGTCAAATCAAACAGACGCTATTAGCAGAGTAAATAGAATATGACGACATATAATCTTCCCAAGTATGAAAGCATAAGTCAAAAATTCTCTGAGAAATGATGTGTTTTGGAAGGTCGAACAGACGGACGGATGGACGGACGAAAAGAGACCATTACTATATCACTTGCCGCGTGATGCGCGGGGATAATAATTGCATTCCTTTTTGTTTTGCATTCGAGCGTCCTTTTTCTAGTAACCTAATGCAATTAATGTAAATTATCTCTGTCTTCCTTCTTTTATTTAATTCTGATACTGTAGCCACTTTTAACTGTGGTCAATTCTGCATCAATGTGTATGCTGTCTTTTTTCTTTTTAGTTCAGTTTAAAGATGTAAATTTGTAAATTTTGTACTTCCATGTGACATCACCCTAAAATCATTCGAATTAGTGATAAAAGCTATAAATTTACCCTCAGTTCCCATCTGGTTATGTATGTTCGTTTGAACATAATACCGAATGTTTCATATAATTGTTGCTGCTAGTGAAAATCTAATCTTTTTAGGTTTTTATTTTATTAGAATAATTCTTAATAGAGGTTTTTAAAAACACACAATTAAAGTTTTCTTATTTTTAATCGTTCATTTTACCAACATTAGTGTTATACTTGTATTCCCGAGGTTTTAATCTGGCTAGTTGTTGGTGTCTTAGTGTCGAAGAAAAATAACGCAGGTGATGAAAGAAGAACCTTTGTAACTAAGAGGGTGAACAACAATATGCATGAAACAAGAAACGTTTTATGTTTATAACCCATTTTCGCAAGCACATAAAAGGAAGGGAATGTATATTGCGGCTATTCAACTATATGAGTCACCGATTTTAAATCAATATTTATTAATCAATACCTTTTTTATTCTCAAAACTTTCATCCATTTTAAACAAAATGGATGCAAAGCCATACTTCTGACCCAATCCCACATTTGTTCCATTCAAATTGTTCCGCTGCTTATGTTATTATCAACCAGTAACTAATAAATATAAACTATCAGAGTTAGAAAATTAAGTGATTTTTATAGTGTGGATGTAAGGAGTCACGTCTCACCATGGATTTTTGTTAATGAAAGTAACAAAATAAACTAGAAAGCAAACAAGCTTATAATTTTGTACGCCAGACGCATGTTTCTACTACACAAGACTCGTCAGTGGTGCTTGGATCAAAACAGATGGAAGGCTAAATTAATTAGGAAGTTCGCAATTTCATAATTTTAGTCCAATATAAAAATAAGAAGATGTGGTATAATTGCCAATGAGACAACTTTTCACCAGAGATCAAATGACATAGAAGTTAACAACTATAGGTCACCGTCTGGCCTTCAACAAAGAGCAAAACCCATACAGCATTTTATTATCATTATTTCATGCTTGTATTGCTTTTAAGTAAATCAACTCGAAAATATAAAAGTGTAAATCAGGATGAACTGTTAATTCTATATCGATATTTTTACAGCATGTATGTTTGCTTCTTGTGTGGTTTGTTTTATGCCTCTAGTGCACCCAATCAATAAGAAACCCTCAGAATCAAACGATAAACTATATGGAAAACGTATTCCAAGGTTTTCTGTTCTTTGTAGTCCACAAATTTCCCCTTTTTGATTTAAGGCATGTATAGCGTGGTTTTGCACATCTGAGATAAATAAAACATTTTTCGATGTCAAAGCCATGCCCCTAGGTGTAAACTGAGCGTGGTTAGGTGTATTGATAATGTTATAGCCCTGGTATATAAACTTTTTTCTTCCATTCATATCCAAACCAACTATTCGTCCATGAGACTTGTCGTTAATCCAATCTACTACATAAATGTTATTATCTGAATCACTTTCAATACGATACGCATAATGGAACAACTTTTTTCCTAAGTCATCATACTCAAACGTTGCTTTACGTTGGTAATTGGTATTAAGAATAACTACTTGTCTTGTGCAAAAATCCGTCACCGGATATTTATTCCCCTGTTCTCTTAGACCAAGTAGAAGTTCACCGTGTTTGTTTATATGAATTGCTAGAATCATCATTGGAGAAGCCTTTAGCATTGTTCTGATATCATCAGTTGATGATGCAGCTTGTAACTCTGATCTTGGGGATGGTGCAAAAACTATTTCACTCTGTCGATTCACTGCAAAGTCCTGGCACTCAATATCGAATTGTTGTAATACTTTTATGGAGTCCTTTCGTAATTTTGCCTTAATTAAATGGCAATTTTGAGTATCAATGGCAGATAACATAAAAACAACATCATCATCACTGCAAATAATTTCATGTATGCATGGCAATTCTGTTTGGTATCTGTTAAATACAGAGGATATTACCTCTGAAATGTGAAGGGCTTTAAGGTGATCTGCTATATCATAACCAATGTCTCCGGTGGACACGACTCTATGTTTCTCTGACGACTTGAATCGAGGATGAATGTTTATTTTACAGTTATCACACAACAATAATTCGCAATCGGTACATTTCCATTTAATAACAACATCATTATTGCAAAGTTGACAGGAAATTGAAGATTGGGCCATCCTTGTAGATTTCGCCATAACAAAGATTAGACAATATGGCTTCCTGTCTGTTAATTCATTTACTTCCTGATTGCATATGACGCGTGAAGAGTTGAAGCTATTTTTAAAACGCAGTTAATAGATAAATGTTATCAACAAGAAATTTAAGTTGTAGTTGCACATGAGAAGTAAATGCGAATGTATCATCGTTGCGTAGTGCTTGATTTAGGGGACAATCATTTGATTTTCGAGGGGAGGGGGGGATTTAGAAAACGAATATCGTGGCCATGAAAGACCTGCAAATGAATAATCCAAGACAGGATGATGAAAATTCAATATTCTGCCAAAAAAAAATGCAGGAAATAATTACTGAGGTAATTGTGTACAAAGGTCAAAATAAATTTTTCAGTGGGGAAAAAAAAAACAATCGTAGCAACAGATGGAAATGTTAAAAATGAATAGTCAATCTGCAATAAATCCTCCTGGCCTCAAAAAAATATTAAATGGTTGTCCCTTTAGAAGGAACAGACCGGATGCGATAACCCTTATGAAAAAACATACACAATTAATGCATTGTGCAGACCGATAATATATTGATCAAAGTTCATTTTCAACAATTCAGTTTTGACCATGTTCATGATGTTTACCGATACAAAATGTACAACCTTTCATAATTCTGGATACTTTTGTTACCTTGAAAGCGAACTTTAGAATAATTTTTTTATTCGTAATGATTGGAGTAAAAATACAAAAGTATCAGTTGAGGTTTTATCAAACGCTCACGTAATGTTTTTAGTCAGTTCCGGGAAACTACAGAGCAAATGGTGTCATCAGAAACTGAGAGTTCGCCTGCAGTGGTAATGACCAAGTTAGAGTAAAGAACATTTTGATTTATTGACATTAATAAAAAAAAGAAAATAAACATTATTGGTGTCTTTATTTATACTACTAGTACATTTATAATATCAATAAAAATTTCACTTAGTTTTAATAATTTTAAATTTCCGATTGTAGATGTGCCGATGAAACAAAGAAAGGAGTAAATATCAATACCTCTCGTGTGAACGTAACATAACAAGGTCAAAACTGAAACTCAGCTATTAAGCTGATAATGACCAAATCTATTTGATATAAACCTTGTGCCAGTCAAGCAAAACAAAATTCTGGTCTTGCTGATAAACTTACAAATATGGCGTAATCCTTAGGAAAAGTGACCGATCACAACCGATTTCATTGATTTAAAAGGCATTCAAAAGTCGAACTGCTTTCCTTTGAAGAAATAATAGTCATGCTTAGAAAATCGTTTTTAGATTAGAGGTGTTATGTTTATTATTCTCAGGAAAATCCAATAAAACAATAAAACAGCCTGTTTTCTATTTACAATGTTGTACATTTAATCTAAAATATAAGTCAGGACATAAATACGTGCAGTAATGATATGTTGCAAGCGTAGGGAAAATTTCATGCTCATTCAAAAAGCTTTTTTCATAGGCCCAGAAATAAATCCAAAAAGCAAAGACAACTCTTCCTTATGATGAATTGTACAACTAACAATCGTATTCCAAAGAATTATGATATGACGTTTCACCAAGTGATCCGCTGAACCATTGATTAATATGATTAGGACCATTGGCGTATCTATTGCCAAGAACTTTTAATAATACTTCAAACAATGAAAGCATTATTAAATATGATAAAGGAAGAGTCATCTTGTCGTTTGTGTCAGGCGAGCTTTTTGTTTCTTTAACAGAACGAACTAGTTGGTTTAATTTCCTACCTCTATGATCTTTAAATCTTTATAACCCATAGAAATAAGGATATGTGTAATAGTTGCTTATAAGACAAATATTCACCAAAGTCTAAATGACGGTTGATGTAAGCAAATTTAGGACATGCACATTCGATCTTGAACAAAATAACATACCGGATAGTCGGCTATAAAAGGCTCCGACATGAAATAATTAAAACGATAAAATCAACATCCTGGTATAATACAAAACAATAAAAGATAAACAAACAAATATGACCGACAGCAACCAACTAAGAACCGGCACATTAAGCATGTGGCGGAGTTAAACATGTGTATGGTGCTTAATCCCCCTAACCTTGGATATTGATGTGACAACACAACATAATAACAAACTGTAAAAATCATTTTGATTTGGCTCTACTTTTGGTCCTTCTTTGATTTGATCAGCTTTCATTGTTTTTATTTGGATTTGGACTATTTCGAGTATTATTGCACTCGTCTGCAGACACATTAATTGTCATAATGCGCACCTGGTACAGTTAACATTGTATTTGTGGAAAGGGCTTCTCAATCAATCTGGTCGTTGGCACTTAAACCACTATTAACAAAAAGATCAAACACACAAAGTACCAGTCTAAGAGTATGGAAAGTACTATAGTTTTTTATATATGAAATCATTTGGGTAAAATCTATATCTGACTAATATCTTAGATATGAATATTAGTAGAAATGTAACTGCTGTAGTGATTAACTACCAAGTTTAAATTACATTGCATGCAGAATTGGTAAACAATATTTAATTAACGCCATGGCTAAAAAAGAAAAAGACAAACAGACAAACAATGATACACAAAACACAACATAAAAAACTAAAGAATGAGCAACACGAACCCCACTAAAAACTGGGGTGATCTCAGGTGCTCCGGAAGGGTAAGCAGATCCTGCACCACATGTGGCACCCGTCGTGTTGCTCATGTTAGTACAAACCTAGTAACAAGTCTTCTTCGTTAGGTCACATTCGGAGAAAAGTGGACGGGATTGTAGAAACGACATTTGGAACATATCCGCTATCATCTGTGGAACGGATATTCCAACAAATGGGAGTTTTTAACGACCTTGACTGGCTATACAGCCCTTGCACGGTCGGCCCTGGCTTGCGCCTTTTTGGGCATTGAATAATTTAATTTTTACCATATGGTAATTGATATAATTTAGAATGACAAAAAAAAAAAAATTATAAAAAATAATATAGAGTAAAAATTTGAAAAACTAAATGAATAAATAAATTGACGAATAAGTTAATAAATAAAGAAAAGAAAAGAATCTAAAAATAAATAAAATAAAATAATATAAAAATGAGATTTTTATATAAAACATAAAATAAAAAAAATATATACGTAAAAAAAAATAACTAATACACACGGAGCCACCAGAAGTAGGAACAGGAGGAAAGCTAGGCCAAGCAAACAGCAGTGAACGACAGCAACGTTGTCCTGGTACACCAGCAGCCAAGTAAAGAGCGGATAATTGTTATATGCCAAATTGTGTATGTGAATTTATTTGCCAAATATTTTGTATAAACCGAAATATGCCTAAATTTGTTTATGTGAGTTTTGCAAAAATAATTAGTAAGAAGTTTTGTATGCATAAAAAAAAAAGAGAGAAGTAAATAAAATAAAATAAAATAAATAAAAAAACCAAAGGGTGTATGTATAATTTTGACTGCTTTGTGCTAGTGCTACTTATATTGAGACTTTATAGTGCTAGTACACTGGAACTCTATCCACAGGAAGACAGCGCCCCACGCTAATTAAAACTGGGTTAGCGCAAACCAGATCTTGCGAAGAACCATTTTTTAAGTCCTAGATATGACTTGCGGCTTAATGATGTGGAAAATTTATATAAGGACCAGAAGTAGACACAAAAATAATTTGGGTGCCGCGAATTTGGGAAAAAAAACCAAAGGTTATGGTGAGTTACTGTTTAGTTAGCATAATTTCAATAGTTTAATTAACTTTGCACTACATATATTTTTACTAATTTTAAATATGATAAAATTAATTCAAACTTTTTAGATTATAAATTTATTTCGATTTTAATTCGTCTTGAAGAAGCTTGCTGTACTGCCGGTTACGGCCTGGCTCCATTTCTGAGTCACTGACCCGGATAACTCTTGCAGTGTAGTTGATCTTCTTAACGATGTTTTGTTGAGCCGTCTTGAAGAGCCTGCTGTACTGCCGGTTACGGCCTGACTCCATTTCTGAGTCACTGACCCGGATAACTCTTGCAGTGTAGTTGGTCTTCTTAACGATGTTTTGTTAAGCCGTCTTGAAGAGCCTGATGTACTGCCAGTTACGGCCTGGCTCCATTTCTGAGTCACTGACCCGGATAACTCTTGCAGTGTAGTTGGTCTTCTTAACGATGTTTTGTTAAGCCGTCTTGAAGAGCCTGCTGTACTGCCGGTTACGGCCTGACTCCATTTCTGAGTCACTGATCCGGATAACTCTTGCAGTGTAGTTGGTCTTAACGATGTTTTGTTCAGCCGTCTTGAAGAGCCTGATGTACTGCCGGTTACGGCCTGACTCCATTTCTGAGTCACTGACCCGGATAACTCTTGCAGTGTAGTTGGTCTTCTTAACGATGTTTTGTTAAGCCGTCTTGAAGAGCCTGCTATACTGCCGGTTACGGCCTGACTCCATTTCTGAGTCACTGACCCGGATAACTCTTGCAGTGTAGTTGGTCTTCTTAACGATCTTTTCTCTAGTACGTCCTGGTATTGTTGTGAAAATTGTTTTATTACTGCCGGTTACGGCCTGACTCCATTTTGAGTCACTGACCCGGATAACTCTTGCAATGTATTTTAGTTATTTTATTTATATTACTTTTTTTTTAATACTTATCTAAGTTTATGGTAATCAATTTCTGTTAAATATTGAACCAAGCACGACCAGACATATTGTTGTTTATCTTTAGGAGGATCTAGAATATTTTGGTATTAATATTTTGTATTTGAACCTTATCCAAGTTTGATTGTAAATTTTGTCTGGCTTGTGAGTGATTAATACAGTTAACTAGTACGTGTTCTATATCTTCTTTAATGCGGCATGTATTGCATATTGGAGATACATTGCGGATGTACTGACCTAGCTGACCAGGTAATAAAGTAGTACCCAACCTAAGTCTAGAAATTGTTTTTGCATGATATCGATTACCTTGATAAAAAGTGGGTTTTTTATTTACTGTATTATTTATAGAACGACTCCATAGGGAGCATATGTTATCCCATCTAGCTTGCCACTTTTTCTTATA